GTGAGTGAGTGACAGAGTCACTGATGGGTGCACACGGCCTCATGAAACGACTAGACTGCGGGCTCAGGCCGGCACCGTCTGATGTTTTCAGATCCTGCCACACGGCATCTAGTCGTGACAACTTATACATGGTAATGCAGGATGCGAGAAGACTGCATCGCAGCTCGGGCTTGTTTGCAACATACGGGCACACAAGCTCGACGAGGGCTTGCAAGGTCTGTGCGAGAATGGCATCCCAGCAGGCAAACTTTGGGACCCGCGAGTGGCATGTTAAGTGGTCTCAATGCCTTTTATATCTTAGAAGAGGATGTTCATGCGCAAGTGCATCGTACAAGACTACATGCCGCTAGCCGGTCAGTCTGCAAAACGCGGATTGGAGAAGTCTTGAAAATCAGCCTTTCTTGAGCTTTGCAGCTGCCAGCATAGCCTGGAGCTTGTCACCCAAATCAGAGGTTCCGGTTTTCGGGACCGGCGTCGGCTGGCCGTCTTCACCACCCTTCTTGGGTCCAGGCTTCGGCTTGGTCTTCGCGGCTGGATCCTTCTTCGGTGCCTCCGGCTTGAGCTTCTTGTTCGGCGCGGTCGTGGCCTCGGTGGTACCATACTCGTTGGCATAGGCGACGGAATAGACCTTGCTGTTCGGATCGCTCATCTTGTCGATGAAGGCTTTCTTCACCCGCGTGGCAATGAGCTCACGTTGAAAATCAGAGTGGCACACTCCGACGTAGCCACGCCCTTCCAGCACGGAGTCAATGGCCAGGTCCCCCGTGGCGGGGGTCAAGTCGATGACGACTTTGGCCCAACACATGTGACACAACGAGTCTGCCACCAATCTGGGCGGCTGGTGCCAACAAATCGGCTGCATCACCGTGTCCGCCATGGTCTTCCCACTGCCTCTCCCCTGGCCCACGGCCGGCACCTCCACCAAATCATCAGCCGCCTCTGCCGCTTCAGCGCTCACAGCGACAGCGGCATCACCGGAGCTCCCAGCACCGCTGACATCGGGCTCTGGCTCAGAGGCATCGGAGGCCTCGGCGTCGGAGGATGACAGCGAGCCGGCGCCGCTCTCAACTGTAGGGCCTCCCACGGCTCTGCGCCGTGCTTCCCAGAACGTCCGCTTGTCGGCCACCGACAGCATCGGAAGGCTGCTGACTGCAGGCCACGAGAAGGGGCCTAGCGTGGATGCGAGATTGGTCATGCCCTGGAAGTGCTTGTGCGGCCGCTTCGCCAGCTTGGTCAAGCCGCTGTGGAAGATGAAAGCCTTCTGCGCACAAGAGACCGTGTCGGTTTTCAGCTTCTGCCGGAAGCGTCTGGCAAGAGCTGAGGCCTCCGTAAAATGTACAATGAGCTCCCGAGCCACCACTTTGCCATCTTTGTGCTTTCGCGATTTGTCTAGCCTCACCCGATCAGCCCCCATCTGGAAGAGATTCAAGAGCGAGGTGGAGCGTCGTCTCCCCCCGTCCAGTATGACCAGGCAGTCCCCTGGTGGGAGGATGCCCTGAGTGTCTTTGTCTTCGCGGAGATTCTTCACTGCCGAGTAGAGCTTTTTCACGGTACTCTCTTGGAGAGGAGGCATACGCAGATGCGGCGCAGTGATGGATTCACCGTAGGTGTTGCTGTCGAAATATACCAGCACGGTGCCGCTGTCGGTGCCCTTGCACGTTGCCAAGGAGTGCGCCTCCAACGCACTCCTCAGCTGGCTTTGGCTCAGGCCCTTCTCGGTCACTAGGACCAAGGACTTGGCCAGGGCCCGGTCGACGTAGGCCATCCAGCCTTCGTCTACGGTAGCTAAGTCCACGCCGGTCTCATTCACCGAGATAAGCTTCGGCACAATGCTTGTTGCATCCGCGGCAGCTGCCTTGGGCTCTGCAGCGATGACCTGGCCTGCATCACCAAGAGCCGTCGAGGCTGCGCCAGGTGCCGCCAGCTCCTTGTCGATCTCTGCGATCAGTTTCTGCCACGGATTGTATTCCTCCGCGATCTCTTGGGGGGTCTTGCCCTGCTTGATCCCCGTCTTCATGATGTTCGCATCGCCATGATCGAAGTTGAAGCAGGCACCTTCAATGAGCTCCACGATGTGACTCACCGCAGTGGGCCATGAGGACAGCTGCGAGCGGTCCTTGATCAGAAAGCTGTCTCTGTAGACGGTCGGATTTTGGAAGATCTCGCGCAGCTTCGCCTTGTAGTCGGCATCCACAGACCGGGTGTCAAGGAATCTGCCCACGAAAAACTCCTTCATGCCTTTTTTGCACAGAAACACTTCCAGCAGACTGATCTTGCCCGACCCCGGCTTCAGCAGCGGCTTCCGTGCAAGCTCTGAAGGCTCCAAGGTCTCCATGGCCATCACCGTCTCGATGCTTTGGAAGATCCACAGTACCCTCTGGGGAGTTTTGCATTTGTAGTGCACCTCCAGGAGGTTGTTTATCGCATTGAAGGGGGATCTGTCGTTGTAGTATTCGTCCATGCGTTGAATGATTGCGCGCACTTCCGGGAGGACGAGGACATGTTCGTAGACGGTCACTGCCTTTTCAATGAGCTTTGGATCGGAGCGCGGCTC